TTGAAAGTCACTGAGCTCTTCAGTAAGGCCATTCTACTGCCAATGTTTGCATGGCTGTGTGCTCGATTTTGTACACCTGTCAGCAATGGGTGTGGCTGAAATAGCCGAATCCACTAATTTGAAGGGCTGTCCACATACTTTTGTTTATATAGTGTTTTTCCCGTCCTCCTATGGGTACATTGTCTTTTTCTTTTACTAGGAGGCTCACGGTTCTCACCCCCTTTCAGAGACTTACACAGTAATTATGACAACTTTCGGAGGACAACTTCCAACCAATCAGAGCTCTTGCAGCATGAACTGACATGTTGTGCACCCAATCAAAGGATCAGATAATTAATCTATAGTACTGAAAGCATAAGCTACAGCTAGCTAGCACTGCAGTTGACTCAAAGAGAGAGAAATACAATATATGAAACAGTTTTGAACAAATCATTTCCCTAAAAAATGAAGGAAAAGCAGGAGAGAGAGAGCTAGCTATATTTTGTTGTATTTTTGTTCACTTTCACTTACTTAGCTAGTGAACGCTGCTAGCTAGTTTAACCTACTCAAACACCCGGCTCAAACAGAGAGGGATGCTATGTTAGCTAGCTGGCTATGGCTATCCAACACTGGAACCCTTCCAATTCAAGGTAAACTTTTGGTTTTATTAATGTATTGCCACCGGGGCCCACCGGTATAACTGCTAAACTGCTTGCTATACACTGTACTGCACGTGTTAGTTCCAATAGCTATGTTGACTATGACATTAGCTAATATGGTGACAACAATGTCGGCTGTGTGTAGCGGTTATGGTAAGAAGGTTTGGCTTGGAAAGTTTTTTCGCCTGGTCACAGACAGCTTTTGTGTTGTGCACTGAAGTCCACAAGCGAAGGGTAAAGGTGAGAGGAGGACAGCATGTTAATGCAAGATGGAATTATACAACGAGCTAAGTGATCACGCTGTTTATGTGGCTGCTACGAAAGTGAACTGTGTTTGCGGGTGATCAGGCATATATTCATTCCGCCGATTCTGTTGAAAGACATTTCTTGAACAGGAGCAAACGGAACAAAACTTTTGCCCAATTGAAACTCTCATCTCAACTGTTGGACTAATGATTACATCCTAGATCAGCTAGATGCAGGCAAGAGTGTGCAAGGCAGTGTTGAATGTGTCACTGTTTGTCATCTTGATTACTCAAATTGTTCTCTCGACCCTTTGACTTTTTCCACATTTTGTTACTTTTCAGCCTTATTCTAAAATTGATTAAATCGTTTTCCCCCCTCATCAATCTACACACAATAACCCATAATTACAAAGCAAAAACTGATTTTTTGTTTGCAAATGTATTTAAAATAAAAAACGGAAATATCACATTTACATAAGTATTCAGACCCTTTACTCAGTACTTTTTTTAAGCACCTTTGGCAGCTATTACAGCCTAGAGTCTTCTTGGGTATGACGCTACAAGCTTGGCACACCTGTATTTGGGGAGTTTCTCCCATTCTTCTCTGCAGATCCTCTCAAGCTTTGTCAGGTTGGATGGGAAGCGTTGCTGCACAGCTATTTTCAGGTCTCTCCAGAGATGTTTGATCAGGTTCAAGTCCGGGCTCTGGCTGGGCCACTCAAGGACATTCAGAGACTTGTCCCGAAGCCACCCCTGCGTTGTCTTGACTGTGTGCTTAGGGTTGTTGTCCTGTTGGAAGGTGAACCTTTGCCCCAGTCTGAGGTCCTCAGTGCTCTGGAGCAGGTTTTCATCTAGGACCTCTCTGTACTTTTCTCCGTTCATCTTTCCCTCGATCCTGACTAGTCTCCCAGTCCCTGCTGCTGAAAAACATCCCCACAGCATGATGCTGCCACCACCATGCTTCACCGTAGGGATGGTGCCAGGTTTCCTCCAGATGTGACACTTGGCATTTAGTCCAAAGAGTTCAATCTTGGTTTCATCAGAGCAGAGAATCTTGTTTCTCATGGTCTGAGAGTCTTTAGGTGCATTTTGGCAAACTCCAAGTGGGCTGTCATGTGCCTTTTACTGAGGAGTAGCTTCTGTCTGGCCACTCTACCATAAAGGCATTATTGGTGGAGTTCTGCAGAGATGGTTGTCATTCTGGAAGGTTTTCCCATCTCCACAGAGGAACTCCTGAGCTCTGTCAGAGTGACCATCGGGTTCTTGGTCATCTCCTTGACCAAGGACCTTCTCCCCCAATTGCTCAGTTTGGCCAGGCGGCCAGCTCTAGGAAGAGTTTTCGTGTTTCCAAACTTCTTCCATTTAAGAATGATGGAGGCCACTGTGTTCTTGGGGACCTTCAATGCTGCAGAAATGTTTTGGTACCCTTCCCCAGGTCTGTGCCATGACACAATCCTGTCTCGGAGCTCTACGGACAATTCCTTCAACCTCATGGCTTGGTTTTTGCTCTGACATGCACTGTCAATTGTGGGACCTTATATACAGTTGAAGTCGGAGGTTTACATACACTTAGGTTGGAGTCATTAAAACTCATTTTTCAACCACTCCACAAATGTCTTGTTAACAAACTATAGTTTTGGCAAGTCGGTTAGGACATCTACTTTGTGCATGACACAAGTAATTTTTCCAACAATTGTTTACAGACAGATTATTTCACTTATAATTCACTGTATCACAATTCCAGTTTGTCAGAAGTTTACATACACTAAGTTGACTGTGCCTTTAAACAGCTTGGAACATTCCAGAAAATGATGTCATGGCTTTAGAAGCTTCTGACATAATTTGAGTCAATTGGAGGTGTGCCTGTGAATGTATGTCAAGGCCTACCTTCAAACTCAGTGCCTATTTGCTTGACATCATGGGAAAATCAAAATAAATCAGCCAAGACCTCAGAAAAAGAATTGTAGACCTCCACAAGTCTGGTTTTCCAAATGCCTGAAGGTACCACGTTCATCTGTACGAACAATAGTATGCAAGTATAAACACCATGGGACCACGCAGCCGTCATACCGCTCAGGAAGGAAAACGGTTTGCAACTGCACATGGGGATGAAGATCATACTTTTTGGAGAAATGTCCTCTGGTCTGATGAAACAAAAATAGAACTGTTTGGCCATAATGACCATTGTTCTGTTTGGAGGAAAAAGGAGAAGAACACCATCCCAACCATGAAGCACGGGGGTGGCAGCATCATGCTGTGGGGGTGCTTTGCTGCAGGAGGGACTGGTGCACTTCACAAAATAGATGGCATCATGAGGAAGGAAAATTATGTGGATATATTGAAGCAACATCTCAAGACATCATTCAGGAAGTTAAAGCTTGGTCGCAAATGGGTCTTCCAAATGGACAATGACCCCAAGCTTTCTTCCAAAATTGTGGCAAAATGGCTTAAGGACAACAAAGTCAAGGTATTGGAGTGGCCATCACAAAGCCCTGACCTCAATCCTATAGAAAATGTGTGGGCAGAACTGAAAAAGCGTGTGCGAGCAAGGAGGTCTACAAACCTGACTCAGTTACACCAGCTCTGTCAGGAGAAATGGGCCAAAATTCACCCAACTTATTGTGGGAAGCTTATGGAAGGCTTCCCGAAACATTTGACCCAAGTTAAACAATTTACAGGCAATGCTACCAAATACTAATTGAGTGTATGTAAACTTCTGACCCACTGGGAATGTGATGAAATAAATAAAAGCTGAAATAAATAATTCTCTCTAGTATTATTCTGACATTTCACATTTTTAAAATAAAGTGGTGATCCTAACTGACCTAAGACAGGGAATTTGTACTAGGATTAAATGTCAGGAATTGTGAAAAACTGAGTTTAAATGTATTTGGCTAAGGTGTATGTAAACTTCTGACTTCAACTGTAGACAGGTGTGTTTCTTTCCAAATCATGTCCAATCAATTGAACTTACCACAGGTAGACTCCAATCAAGTTGTAGAAACTTCTCAAGGATGATCAATGGAAAGAGGATGCACCTGAGCTCAATTTCGAGTCTCATAGCAAAGTGTCTGAATATTTATGTAATAAGGTATCTCATTTTATTTTATTTTTGCAAAAACCTGTTTTTGCTTTATCGTTATGGGGTATTGTGTGAAGATTGATGAGGGGAAAAAAACGATTTAATCCATTTTAGAATAATAGAAGTTAAGGGGTCTGAATACTTTCCGAATGCACTGTATGTTGTAAACTTTCATTCGTAGGCTAGGTTGTAGCAACCTCATGGGTATAGGGAAAATGTTAGTATCATGTCGTAGTCTAAACCTATCGATGTTACATTGAGCTGGGTGAATGGAATATGAATGACAGTCATCCAATATGCTGTAATAGAAATAAGGCCATGCTCGTTAAAAAAATAATTGTCTTCCCTTATCTTAAACGGCACCGACCGCCACTGTGTGAATTGTAGCTTCTGACTTTTTTGTACCCCAGGGAACAACACTATACCCTAACCATACCAGACCTGGATGTGTAGCAGGACATGCAGCAGAACATTTCAGGTAGCTAGCGACCAAGAGGTTTTAAGTTCAAATCCCAGTTAAGGCTGAATCCCAAGTGTGGTCACAGTACAAAATTAAACAATATATACTTTTTACACTAATTGAAATCAGAATAGAGCAGCATACTTTCATTTTATAGAAATAACACATTCAAGTTGTTTTATATAGTTTAGGCAAAGTGCATAAATGTGTTCTTGGCAATATATGTATAGCCAATCTCCATTATGTCCACAGATCTGCTGGCGCAGCAGGAACTTCAGGTAGCAAACAAGAGGTTGTGAGGTTGAGTCCCAAGTAATCCAGGGGACCATGACACTATGTTTTAAAAATGTTCTTGGGGACGTCCCTGGAACAAACCGGAACCTAAACAAAACCTGTAGGGGACCATGACTCTTTAAATTGAATTAATGTAAATTAAGCATTTTAAAGTAAAATATTCTCAATGGCATTTAACACCTGGGTTTTCACATGTTCAAATGTCAAGTGTGGTTTCATGGTATCACATGTTTTTTTTGCATCCCCATGTTGTCACATTTATTTCACATGAGATCATGTTTTCACATATGCTCACATGTTGCCACATGTTATCACATTAACGTCACATAAAATCACGTGATCACATTTGAAATTCATGTCGTTTTCCGTAAGGGTTCTTATTTCATTATAAGCATGCTCTCAACATGACATATTTTTCATTATTTTATCTATGATTAGATATAGGTATAAGTGCTGTGTGTGTTACTGTAGCTATGACTGTGAGGAGATCTGGAGGGAGTTTGAGGAGGCTGTCGTGAGGAAGTCTCCCTGCAATGTGAAGGTTAAGGACTACAAAAGGATGTTCCGTGCCACGCCACAGACTCTGACATGTGGTAAGGTGAGTATCACCATGGCAGCGCTGGATTCTCATCCAAGACAGGGGGGACCTGATCCTAGATCAGCACTCCTACTCTGAGACGCTTTATGAATGCGGGCCCTGAATCATCTGAGGATGTAACTGACTGTGTTGTGTTTTTGAGTATCTTTGATTTATTGAGTATCTATGATTCCTCTAATATCTAGTATCTGGTGTGTGCTTGTTGCCCTCATGGTTTGTAGCTGCTGTTCTGGAGTAAGACCAGGGAGCTGATGCACAGCTATGCAGCTGTAACACGTCGTTTCTGGACCCTGGAGGACACGCTGGTGGGATACATGTTCAATGACCTCATCTGGTGCGGACAGGGAGAGAAAGACAGAGGTAGGATTCATCATGATCTGAGAGAGAGAGAGAGAGTTATGATTCCTCTCTTCACATTGTTCCCAAAAGATCTGAAGGATGAGGAGAGAGGTCACAATATGACAGGCTGGGGCTCTGGGGTTGGCCACAGTTGTAATGTTTGGGTCAGTGCTTACAGGAAGTTGAGACAGAGGGGGGATATCGCCCACATATGGTGTTATGTAGCACAGCTGTTTCACAACACCATGTGTTACACCCCCATCTCTGTGGTAAACTCTCCCAATTGTGCACCGGAGAGCTTTACCCCCCCCCCCCCCCCCCCTGCTCTGCACACTAAACAAACAAGTAGAATGAATTAACTTTTCCTTAGAGAGATGATGTAATCTTCACTGTGGTGGTTTACCTATGTAAATATGGCTGGCTCTTTCTTATGAAGCTCCTTCATGTGTTTCTCTTTGTTAGGCTTTGATTTCAACTCTTGCCCGGAGTGGTCAACATGTGTAAACCATCCTGTCTATTCCTTGTGGAGACAAGCCTCACAAAACGTAAGCTCACTCACAAAATGGTAGCTTAAATTACATGAATGCAGTATTTTTGTGGTAAGGAAATGCCTTGTGATTCTGAGATACTGGGTGACTGCATGACATGTCTACTGTATATTGTGGGCTGTGTCTGGCTATGATTGCCTCATCTCTGTATGTTTGCCAGTTTGCTGCAGTGGCATGTGGCAACATCACAGTGCTGCTCAATGGATCCATAGAGAATGCTTTCAACAGGAAAAGGTAAGGCGAAGACGTGACAACCACTGACAGTACATAGTGGTCTAACAGTGGTAGTGATTGTTTCACTCTGGTCCTTTTCATCTTGCTGTAGCATGTTTGGGAGTGTAGAGCTGGACAGCCTGAACCCCAGGATGGTAGATCATGTCAACATCAAGGTGGTGGCCAACCTGGAGGGACCTTTCATGTGAGAATGACTAGGAATGCATCTCAAATGGCACTCTATTCCCAACATAGAATCCTTTGGGCCCTGGTCAAAAGTAGTGCACCACATTGGGAATAGGGTGCCATTTGGAACGGACCCTAGATAAATACCCAAGTTACAAACTGGGCATATCTTTAAATATCAACATGAAATCAGTTTATCTATGCAAATGTCATGCAAATTATGTTTATGTCAAGTTGCATCAGATAGAAATGGTTTGTCTACAATACACTAACCTTTAGAAATACTGTGTGTTATGTACTGTATGTATCCCCTTTCTCTCCTCCTTTAGAGAATCCTGCACTCAGGGCTCCATTGTGGATTTGATCAAAGTCCTACAGACCAGAGGGTTCCGCTGGACCTGCACAGACAGTGACCTGTGAGTCACATCACCAAAACATCACTTCCTCCTTCACTAAAACACAATTTGTTTTGAACAATTCGGTAACTTTCTAGTTTTCCAGAAATCCTGAGTATTCCTGCTTATTAGGTCTGCTTGCTGAAAGCAAAGCACAACTTTAGAAACTGTTCATACTTATTATTATTATTCACCTTCTGCTGGAACCTCTAGTGCCAAAACCGTAAAAGCTACCAACACCAAAACAATTTTAAAACGTCCAGACTACCACTGACACTGCTGCTTGAAAAAATATTTGTTGATTCTACTGATTATTTTTGACACTATAACCATATTTACATAAATCCCAATGCATTTCAATGGGCATAGGTTAACATGGAAAAAGTTTGGACCATAACTAGTCTTCAACCTTTAAAGCTAGAAATGCCATTTGGATTTGCCACTGTTCTTGAACCGTTAAAGCTACAAACACCAAACCAACTTTGACATGTTACAGACTGACTCAACTTGTACTGAACAAAAATACAAACGCAACATGTAAAGTGTTGGTCCAATGTTTCATGAGCTGAAATAAAAAATCCCAGAAATGTTCCATATGCACAAAAAGCTTATTTCTCAAAAATGTTGTGCACAAATGTGTTTACATCCCTGTTAGTGAGCATTTCTCCTTTGCCAAGATAATCCATTCACCTGACAGGTGTGGCATATCAAGAAGCTGATTAAACAGCATGATCATTACACAGGTGCACCTTGTGCTAGGGACAATAAAAGAACACTCTACAATGTGTAGTTTTGTCACACAACACAATGCCACTGATGTCTTAAGTTTTGAGGGAGCGTGCAATTGGCATGCTGACTGCAGGAATGTCCACCAGAGCTGTTGCCAGAAAATTGAATGTTCATTTCTTTACCATAAGCCACCTCCAACATCGTTTTAGAGAATTTGGCAGTACATCCAACCGGCCTCACAACCGCAGACCACGTGTAACCACGCCTTGCTCCCCAGTGAGAGGGCTTGGCTCCCAAGTGGGTGGGCCTTTTGTGCTCCCAGGCCCACCCATGGCTACGCCCCTGCCCAGTCATGTGAAATCCATAGATTAGGGCCTACCTAATGAATTTATTTCCTTATATGAACTGTAACTCAGTAAAATCTTTGAAATTGTTGCATGTTGCATTTATATTTTTGTTCATTGTAGATTGCTTGTCAAAAGATTGTTGATGCTATTTGTACTTTTTTAACTATAACCATTTTAAATTAGGATAAAAGCTCCATAGACTTCAAAGGCAAAATATTAATTTGCAGCTGCGTTGATCCGTTCCAGCTACAAACACCGCCCCAGAGTTGTGCAGACTGACTCAACTTAGATGGCCTCAACACTGCTTTTTGGAACCATTCATACTTCATAACCTATACAGCTTGTAGTATCCCCATTCATTTCAATGGTGGAATGGAGGCTTTAACATTCTAAACTGAAATCACCGCCACAAATCTTTCAGAATGTTGAAACAAAAATATTTTGGGGCTTAAAAACACATTATATGGCTTAAGATGCTATAGTTCTCACTCTAGCCTACTATACTAACACAATATAGACCATTATAATAACTACACACCTACAAACCTCCCCACATTTGTTTATAAACGATAAAGTATAACGCTTGTTGTATCCCCATTCATTTCAGTGCGGAATGTAGGCTCCATTCTAAACTGAAATCACTGCCACAGAACTATTAGAATGTTCAAACTAAAACATTTTGAGAGCTTAAAAACACATTCTATAAGGGCCTCCCAAGTGGCCCAGCGGTCTAAGGCATTGCATCGCAGTGCTAGAGGCGTCACTGCAGATCCTGGTTCGATCCCAGGCTGTGTCGCAGCCGGCCGTGACCGGGAGACCCATGAGGCAGCACACAATTGGCTCAGCGTCATCCGGGTTAGGGGAGGGTTTGGCCAGATGGGATGTCCTTGTCCCATCACACTCTAGTGACTCCTTGTTGCAGCCTGGCGCATGTTAGGGAAGGGTTTGGCCAAATGGGATGTCCTTGTCCCATCACGCTCTAGCGACTCCTTGTTGCAGCCTGGTGCATGCACGCTGACTTCAGGTTGCCAGCTGTACGGTGTTTCCTCTGACCTATTGGTTCGGCTGGCTTCCGGGTTAAGCAAGCAGTGTGTCAAGAAGCAGTGCGGCTTGGCGGGTCGTGTTTCGGAGGACGCATGGCTCTCGACCTTCGCCTCTCCCGAGTCCGTATGGGAGTTGCAGCGATGGGACAAGACTGTAACTACCAATTGGGTTCAATCCTGATTCTGGGAAACATCTAACCAGGATTTCTGGAAAACCTGGGAATTTGGGGAAAGTGAACAGAACCCTAAACACAGTAGAGTGCACATCGTTATTTTTAATCTTCATGTCTCCTCACAGAACTCTGATGATCCTCCAGTGCATCCGGAACCCTCAACAGTTCTCCTGCCTGCCCTGTGCTAATAGCCTACTGCACAGACAGAGGCTACATCTATAGAGAGGTTACATCCACCCTAAAAATATTACCCCCATAGTAGGCAATGTGTCACTTTTCAATGCATTATACTCTGTCCAAGTTCTCTTTAGATACACAGATACATTTAGCTGTTTGTTTACTATGTCTGTTGATTTTAACTGAAATAAAGACAGAATAATTATATTTCTGTGATAATGAAATCATCATAACCCTGCTCTCTGATTGGTGCCTTCAGAATGACATCCTCATAACTCTGCTCTCAAATTGGTCCCTTCATAATGACATAGTCATAACCCTGCTCTGTGATTGGTCCTTTCATAATGACAACATTATAACCCTGCTCTGATTGGTCCTTGCATAATGACATCATTATAACCCTGCTCTAGTTGGTCCTTTCATAATGACATCATCATAACCCTGCTCTCTGATTGGTCTCTAATCTTGTTGATCAAACTCAGTTATTAGTCTATTATGTACTTTGACAATGAAGTTCTATTTTATAATGTATTCCAAAACCAGCACCGCTTGTTCACCTGTAAAACTGTGTACGCCCAGCTCAGAGCAGACGTGGGATTTGTGCACACCAAGCGATCACATTCACATTGATAAATACCCATCTTTGCGTGAATATGACCACACAGCTATTTTACAGTCAGATTAGATTGTATGGTTGGTTGATAAACGAGCGCAAGACGAAATAGCCACAAATCCTTGCTCCACTACAGTAGGTTACGAGGAGATAGGATTCCCATACCTGAGTTATTGATGGGTGTGTATGCCCATAACTTACAGTGCCTTGCAAAATTATTCATCCCCCTTGGCGTTTTTACCTATTTTGTTGCATTACAACCTGTAATTTAAATGGATTTTTAATTGGATTTCATGTAATGGGCATACACAAAATAGTCCAAATTGGTGAAGGGAAATGAAAAGAATAACAGAAAAGTGGTGCGTGCATATGTATTCACCCCCTTTGCTATGAAGCCCCTAAATAAGATCTGGTGCAACCAATTACCTTCAGAAGTCACATAATTAGTTAAATAAAGTCCACCTGTGTGCAAAATAAGTGTCATGATCTGTCACATGATCTCAGTACATATACACCTGTTCTGAAAGGCCCCAGAGTCTGCAACACCACCAAGCAAGGGGCACCACCAAGCAAGCGGCACCATGAAGACCAAGGAGCTCTCCAAACAGGTCAAGGACAAAGTTGTGGAGAAGTACAGATCAGGGTTGGGTTATAAAAAAATATCAGAAACTTTGAACATCCCACAGAGCACCATTAATTCCATTATTAAAAAAATGGAAAGAAAATGGCACCACAACAAACCTGCCAAGAGAGGGCCGCCCACCAAAACTCATAGACAAGGCAAGGAGGGCATTAATCAGAGAGGCAACAAAGAGACCAAAGATAACCCTGAAGGAGTTGCAAAGCTCCACAGCGGATTGGAGTATCTGTCCATAGGACCACTTTAAGCCATACACTCCACAGAGCAGGGCTTTACGGAAAAGTGGCCAGAAAAAAGCCATTGCTTAAAGAAAAAAATAAGCAAACACATTTGGTGTTCGCCAAAAGGCATGTGGAAGACTCACCAAACATATGGAAGAAGGTATTCTGGTCAGATGAGACTAAAATTGAGATTTTTGGCCATCAAGGAAAACGCTATGTCTGGTGCAAACCCAACACCTCTCATCACCCCGAGAACGGCAGGGACTGGGAAACTGGTCAGAATTGAAGGAATGATGGATGACGCTAAATACAGGGAAATTCTTGAGAGAAACCTGTTTCAGTCTTCCAGAGATTTGAGACTGGGACGGAGGTTCACCTTCCAGCAGGACAATCACCCTAAGCATACTGCTAAAGCAACACTCAAGTGGTTTAAGGGGAAACATTTAAATGTCTTGGAATGGCCTAGTCAAAGCCCAGACCTCAATCCAATTGAGAATCTGTGGTAGGACTAAAAGATTGCTGTATACCAGCGGAACCAATCCAACTTGAAGGAGCTGGAGCAGTTGAAGAATGTGCAAAAATCCCAGTGGCTAGATGTGCCAAGCTTATAGAGACATACCCCAAGTGACTTGCAGCTGTAATTGCTGCAAAAGGTGGCTCTACAAAGTATTGACTTTGGGGGGGGGGGGGTGAATAGTTATGCAGGCTCAAGTTTTCAGTTCTTTTGTCTTATTTCTTGTTTGTTTCACAATGAAAAAATATTTTGCATCTTCAAAGTGGTAGGCATGTTGTGTAAATCAAATGATACAAACCCCCCCCCAAAATCAATTTTAATTCCAGGTTGTAAGGCAACAAAATAGGAAAAATGCCAAGGGGGGTGAATAGTTTCGCAAGCCGCTCTATATATATGGGTGGTGATATTGGTATACAGGCCAGTGGAAAGGTCATACAGAGTTCTGGTGTGACTAGTCAGACTGTGATAACATCAATAACCCTGTTCTCCCAGTTTGTGCTCATTCTCAAACACCTTGACATGATCAGCTTTAATGGCATGTCCGAACTTTACTTTATTTTTCAGTGTTGCTCTCTAAAGCTTGTCAGTACCCTTTGTACGAAGTGATGCTTTTACCTTTTGTAAAGGTTACTTCTGCATTGTGCCAGAACAAAATCCTCCCTCAACAGTTCCACAACTACTACAGTTTAGGATTATGTATGACTTTATTAGACTACCTGGAATGAGATGTAAAATCAAATTTTAATGATAGGGTATTTAACATCTACAAATTGTATGCGGTGAAGTAAGCTTTATACAGTAGCAGTGCATCGGTAAAATCACTGGGGAAGCCCCCCCAAAAAGCCATATTACAACCTATGTGTTGTGATAATTGCGTTGTTTGCACTATAACCTGTTAGTTCTTATGCCTTGCCACCGTGTTGTATAAGCCTAAGGCCGAGACAATAAGAAGACACAGTGGCAGAATAAATTCAACCACACCTTTGTTTCATCACAAAACTAGAGAGCAACCTCTGTCCGTTGAAGTCCACAAAACATATTGCAGGTAACAAACAGTTAAATGACCTACAGCATGGTCAAGCAAGTTAATGTTTGACTGCTAAACAACTAATGTCTTAGAACCATGGAGAGTTACCGCAAGTCGCAAAGAAATCAGAAGCTGACTTCAACATTCCAACATCATGAAATCACCTATGCTTAGTCTAATACAGTGACAACTAAAATACTATTTATTCCAATCAACGTAAACTAACTATGATGTGGCTGTCCATGGTTCTGATTTCTGTGTGTGTGAACTTCCATCCTCTCAGGCCAGGGGCTGTGAGAGTGTGATTTGAATGAGTCAGGCGCAGGAAGGTAAATCACAGAATACAGAGTTTATTCCATCGTACACAGTTACGCAAAACAGGCGCACTGAAACAAATACAGGCACACAGGGAAAATATACCCCGGCAATACAACGTACAGGTAGCGCCACCGAGCTACACTCATCTCACATGAAACAATCACCCACAATGACAAGGGGGCAGAGGGAACACTTATACATGTACTAAGGAGGGGAATATGGACCAGGTGTGTGTAATTGACAAGACAAGACAAATGGAATGATGAGATATGGAGCGACAGTGGCTAGAAGGCCGGTGACGACGAACGCCGAAGCCTGCCCGAACAAGGAGGGGAGGCAGCTTCGGAGGAAGTTGTGACAGTACACACCCCCTTGACGCGCAGCTCCAGCAGCGTGCCGACCCTGGCCTCGGGGACGGCCAGTAGGACGCGGAGCAGGGCAAGCCGGATGGCGACGGTGGAAATCCCGCAACAGGGAGGGATCGAGGATATCCCTCACCGGGACCCAGCACCGTTCCTCCGGACCGTACCCCTCCCACTCCACGAGGTACTGAAGGCCCCCCACCCGACGCCTCGAATCCAGGATGGAACGGACGGAGTACGCCGGGGCCCCCTCGATGTCCAGAGGAGGCGGAGGGATCTCCCGCACCTCAGACTCCTGGAGGAGACCAGCCACCACCGGCCTAAGGAGAGATACATGAAACGAGGGGTTAATACAGTAATCAGGGGGGAGTAATAACCTATAGGTAACCACGTTGATTCTCCTCAAGACATTGAACGGCCCCACAAACCGCGGGCTCAGCTTCTGGCAGGGCAGGCGGAGGGGCAGATTTCGGGTCGAGAGCCAGACCCGATCACCCGGTACGAAGACCGGGGCCTCACTGCGGTGGCGGTCAGTGTTGGCCTTTAGACGACGCATGGTGCGTTGGTGGTGGACGTGGGCAGCGTCCCACGTCTCCTCCGCGCGCCGAAACCAGTCATCCACCGCAGGAGCCTCGGTCTGGCTCTGGTGCCACGGTGCCAGAACCGGTTGGTAACCTAAAACGCATTGGAATGGCGTTAGGTTAGTGGAGGAGTCACGGAGAGAGTTCTGGGCATATTCGGCCCATGGCAAGAACACCGACCACTCCCACGGCCAGTCCTGGCAGTAGGACCGCAGAAACCTACCCACATCCTTATTTACCCGTTCCAACTGCCCATTAGACTCAGGGTGGAAACCAGAGGTCAGGCTGGCCGAGACCCCCAGATGTTCCATGAACGCCTTCCAGACTTTGGATGTGAACTGGGGACCTCGGTCAGACACTATATCCTCTGGTACCCCGTAGTGCCAGAAGACGTGTGTAAACAGGGCCTCCGCAGTTTGCAGGGCTGTGGGGAGACCGGGCAGAGGAAGGAGGCGGCAGGCCTTGGAAAAGCGATCCACAACGACCAGGATGGTGGTGTTACCATGGGAGAGGGGAAGATCAGTCAGGAAATCAACACTCAGGTGAGACCATGGTCGTTGTGGAACTGGTAAAGGTTGTAACTTACCCACTGGGAGGTGCCTAGGTGCCTTACTCTGGGCGCACACCGAGCAGGAGGAGATATACACCCTCACGTCCTTAGCCAAGGTAGGCCACCAGTACTTTCCGGTCAGGCAGCGCACTGTATGACCGATACCTGGGTGACCAGAGGAGGGTGACGTGTGTGCCCAGTAGATCAGACGATCACAGATAAGAGCAGGCACTTACTGCAGCCCAGCTGGACACTGAGGTGGAGATGGCTCTGTGCGTAACGCCTGCTCTATATCCGCGTCCATCGCCCATACTACCGGCGCCACAATGCAGGAGGCCGGGAGTATGGGGCTGTTGTCTCTGGGCCTCTCCTCTGTGTCATACAGCCGTGACAATGCGT